TTGTGTTCTAAACTGGCCCGTTTTACAGCGGATAAACTTTTTACAGAGACTGTCGCCCGACAACAACCTTAAGGATCTTCTGGCGGGGTCAGAACGTATCCGAAAAATTAAGAGAATCGAGTGAAACTTTTTTAAAACATTATTGAAGGCATTTCAAAATCATGTGCAAAATTTCAAAAATTTCATCAACAGAAAAACAATGAAAATAAATTGTAAAATTAGTATTTATGCGTAAGGTTAAATGAGGCATCGATAACTTTAGCATTTTCTCTACATTATCCATCAATCGGCAATATCGGTAAAATGTTGAAGTTATCGATGCTCCACTTGACCCCGTGTATAAGTAGCAACTTTACAATTTATTTTCATTGTTTTTCTGTTGATGAAATTTTTGAAATTTTGCACATGGTTTTGAAATGCCTTAAATAATGTTTAAAAAAAGTTTCACTCGATTCTCTTCATTTTTCGGATACGTTCTGACCCCGCCAGAACACCCTTAACTTAATAAGCTATAGAAAAATGAACATGGGTCTATTTTTTCTGTGATCTCTTTCTTCAGACATTTGCATAATTGTGGTCAATATTAATCTTGAAGTATTCGGATCTCCAATAAACGCCAGGCACGGTGACTACAACTGATTACGGAATCAGGTACCTGATGATTGCGGGAAATTGCATCGTAGGACGAGATTGATGTTTAATTTAGAAAAATGGAAGAGTTCGAATTCAGTAAATGCATGGGTGAACGAACTGTTAATTTGCCGAAACTCTCTCTTGAAATAACGCTTGATCTTGGAGTTATCATCAATTGATTCTTAATAAACAGACTCTTCTACCATATCTCTATGTATGTTGATAGTTAAAGGCAAGTAGTAAATGAAATAGGGATATTATTCCATTGATAGGGTCGATAAACTTCGCCATAACTAATAAGTCCACAGTGGACAAGTGGATGAAGTCAAAGCCTTTAAACTCGCAGGTTCCAGGATCAAATCCCGACGAGTTCTTCAGATAACATTCGCTGATAGATCATAATTAAATTATGAAAAATTACGGATTTTTTTAAACAATTTATCGGCCAATGCTCGGGAACCAGTATCGATCCATCTTTATCAAACTAAAAGTTAGTCGAAGCTGGACGAAAGCCGTTTGAGTATTGACAGTGGAGACATTGGTTGCCAGTATTGCCCGCTTATGACTCATTTGATTTTTTGCGTCCGGGAGCGAAGAGACAAAATTCTACGATCGAACGCCGAAATTTTCACCTATAATTCGAATAGATCGCAGGTAGAAAATATCACTGATATCTGAACTTATTTACTACCGTGATATCTGTAGAATCGATTTTACGATTGCGGCGTCGGCAAAATGACGGTTTAGGAACGAGCTATCGAAATCACTGAATTAAATTATCAAAATTTGAGTAAAAATCACAGAAAAATAAGACCGTTGGATGTAGGGTGGTAGAAATTGCTAATTTTATCACCGTCGACTCAACATCTCCCTTTCGTTATCATGCAACAACACACTGGGAAAATATCTCACAATTTTGAAGGTCCTCCGATAAACTAACAACTATAACTAAATAAATAGGATGCACAACAAAGCTGTATTGAATAAGAGATAAATTGAACTAAAGTGTTTCCGAAAATATTAAAAAACATAAAAACAGAGCTGATACGTCGAATCGTCGACAAACTCACGGTTATCATACCGATCGTGCAAATCTTCAGGCAATTGAAAGAACCGCGAAGAATTTGGTGGGTAAACAGAATTGGCGCAAAGCTCAGTAAGTTTGGCCTCACTCATATCGGCCCCCTCCCCGATTGGGTAAACACTTTTCTCAAAATTGTCGGCCACTACCCTTATCTTGACTAATGCGGCTAACTGGGTTCAATAATTATTAATAATTTAATTTTTTGAGAACTGTTTTCACTTACGAATAAAAAATTGAAGGGAAGACTTATTAGATTGAATTGGAGAATAAATGATTCAGTTTCATTTCAGTTCATAGGTTCTATGATTATCCAGTATGAAATCATTCCAATACTATATAAATTGGTTATCAGATAGTGTAAAACATAAACAACGAGCATAGCAAAAAATCCACAGAAATTGAATGATTCAAAAGACTTTACCTTCAATCGTAAATTTGAGAATTCCTCTGATGCCTCCACCTTCATTACTCCCTTCTTCGTCTTAAGCACATAAACAGTATTGATGTGCGATAAAATATTTTCAAATGTGAGCTCCAAATGTGGTCTGACCTGGAAGAAGAAATGGTTCGTTTGAGGGTTGATCGTAAGATGTTAAATACAATTACGGGATGCGGTTTTAAATAAATTTTCCGTGTTTTGCAATATCGTAATCATAGTTTTAAGGTTTTGCGGTCAGAAGTGTTTCCTATTTCATTGGCGTCCAGGTGGATGCCAGGTTTATTTTCAGCATTGCGCGTTTACGCGCAATTTACGTTTTGTAAACATTGTAGTCTGCATTTTTAGGGCTGTGAGCTAGATTCTGACCTCCGGTTTGTGGGGATCGTCCTTACATATCCCCTCTAGTGGTCGTAGTGCAAATATATCAGAAGGGGAATTCAACCAATCAGAGGTTTTACTTGATCAGCTGGTCAATTTGAAAAAAAAAATGGAATTTATTTAATAACTAATTTTTAATACGGTTTGGTAATTGACAGAGATCAGTGAATGTACCCTATGAGGAATGAGATGCCTGTTCAAATTCAGAATGGGATTCCCAGTTGCACGAGCGACTGGGACCGTATGGGCAATTATCCCGGAGTGATATAATTTGACGACTTCCTCCACTAATTGGCCGTTTTTCATCAAATAACTCATTCCATTTGTTGAATTGACGGCTGTAGAATTCAGCAGGTATGGCTTCATCCATTCTCAGAAGTTCATGATAGAGTACACATCATTTTCCACGCGATTTGAAGCAGATCCTTTCTCCGGTAAATTTTCTGTACAAGAGTGCATATCGATAGTTGTTTGAGGTCTACCTATGACTTGCTGAGTTTGAGATTATAAAAAAAAAATTTTCACCCTGCTTTTTTACCATCGTTTCATCACTATGTAGCCATCACTACATTGCCTACACCTAATTGGGATTAACAGATGTAGATTTTTTTCTGAAAATTCTTTTTCATTCTGTACGACATGAGTATATTGTAACAATGTTCTAATGAAATGTTAACAATGTCGTCTGAAAACCGCTAATCATTTCAATTGATGACTTAATTAATTGCGACTGTATTAAATCAAAAAGACGATTTTCTAAAGAAGCTCTCCTGGCAACTCGTGCGTTTAGTACGAGTACCTCTATACGAGAGTGCTGGTGTGTCATAATTGGAAGTGCTCGGTATCTACGTCACATGGCGTCATATGGCCCACCCGTTCTATAGTTAGTGTTTGGTATGGCTTGAGCAATAGACTACCTGGTTGGCTTGTTAAGCACTTCGTTTAATCTCTGAGAGTCCATTCGAACATTCAACTATCAACTAGGACAGTTCTCCCCATTCTTCGGATTGAAAACGAAACTCCTAGCCATCTATCACGATGGGCACTCCATAGCATCTCTCTTGTTCTTTGGATTAATGAGATGACTAAGTCGCTCGCCAGTGATATGCGTCTTATATTATATCAGTAGTATTGTTAGTCGACCGAGTTAATCTCAGCTAACTTGAGCCTGTATTCATCACACTTTTCTACCAAAAAATTTTGTTCGGTGTTTGGCGAGCAGCGAATAATATTCGGAGACAGAGGTTACATTCGGTCAGTTTATGTACAACCTATCTTTCTACCTTTTGGATATTGTGTATTACGCGTAATCGTTGAACAATTGCGACTCGAATAATTTCTACCTATACCACAAGTTTCTTTGGAGATTGTTGTGAGTCTTTGTTTGGTAATTCTTGCAATTCAGAGTCTTCGATTTTCAAAGGCTGCTCAAGACGCTCTCAATCACTGAGACTGAAGTCACCTTCGTTACAACTTTTATGTCACGAGAATCCGTATCGCGCGCCTGCGTGCGCGTATAAAACTATTTCTGTAAGGGAGTTACGGCTTTTTGTAATCTCGCGCTATTTCAGCTGGACCAATAGGGAATCGTGGCTTCATGATTTCGAGATTTTCGAGATAATCGATTGTGTCAAGCGTGTCCCTTTTAGAATAGGATAGCTGCCCGTAATCAGGCGATTCTAACCTCGCTTCGCTCGGTACAATCGCGGATTACGGGCCCCATGACATGAAATAGTATACAAAACACGTGCGTTATGGATTTTTTGACTCGTGGGATTGTAAAACTCGTTTTCGGCTAATGTTACAACCCTCCCACGAGCCAAGAAATCTATTACGCACTTGTTGCGTAATATACTATTATACCAATATTCACAGGTACTGAAAGACACAACATTCTTTCCAAAGTCTTAATCAAAATAGCTTGTCACGCATATAATGAATATGAAAAATATATAATGAAAAGTAAAATAATGCAAAGTCATGGTTACTCACGGTCAACAAAATATCACTGAGTTTACAACCACCAGTTGTCACTTGAGGTATTACTCGGGTTATTGTGCAGCCAGTTTGCACTATAAATAGGTCACGATTGAACATCAGGTGAAAAGGAAAGACTCGGCAGAACGTTGATGGGCTGACCTTTGGTTCTAAGAAAACATAAAAATAATAATAAATAGTATATTTATAGTGATAGTATATTTCCGGAATATTGGGCTGGGACTCTTTACTCGTGTGGAGCTTGGCACGCCGAGCTGAAGGCGAGACAGCCAGCCACAACAGTGAAAAAACCTCCATCTCAACAGTCCGGATATTATTTTTCAGTAGTGATGTTCAAGTTTTCGAGTTTGGGAAGTATATAGTACCAATTTCCAGACCAGGAATAGCGAGACGCAGTACGGAAAATGTATTTTCAATTTGGTAAGATCCCGTCCAGAATTGTCTCACTTAGAACATAGCCGGGTAATGTGGGGCGGATCGGACTGTTTATCATTAATTTGAATCTCTAATATTTTCATAGGTAAATGCATAAACCATAACTTGAAGGAAATAATTAAGCTTTTACCTCAACCCATCCTGGTCTATACATCAATAATAATAAAAGTCATAAAAACATGAAAGATGGGCTAAATCGTTTTTATTTTAAGCCGAGCAATGGTGTAGTTTAAAGAAAGATGTAGAAAGAGGAGACTGATTACAATTCATAGCTATTCATAAATGATACTTCTTACACGTGTTACGTATCGATAGCTTCCAACTTTTGAAGGTTCTCTAGGTCATTAGGTATATAAGATCGTTCAGAATTGAGGTTGTGGAATTGGATCAATCATAGACAAAATTATCATTCAATACCAATTAATTAAAAAAGGACAAAAAACGGGGAATAAAACACCTATGTAAAAATATATATATGAATAATGTGCAAGAGGATAAACTATATTTGAAGAGTGAAATAGTCAGTCGCAATGGGTTAGCCTTTTCCGAAATGGATTTTTGCGGGAAACCGATTCTATATGCATCGCAAACCTACGCTGTATGAAGGCTTTAAGGGGCACACAAAAATTAATAAATGTTGTCGTTCAAACGAAACTTGGAGTCAATAAATCTGAAACTGCTGTTTCAGACGCCACCCATTAATACGGTTCGAATTGTAGCAAATAAAACTTATTACAAAAAAAAAATAAAAGCTTCTTGGTAAAATCTCAAATAACCGAATGGAATTAAGGTATGTTCAGTTTCATTATCGATTACCCTGGTAGGAATCGCCAAGCATTGACAACAGGGCCAAGCTTGGTTGACCCTATACTGCCAAGCCTGGCATTTCCTAGCCTGAGTCTGGCTTGAACCTATGGTGATGCCAGGCTAGCCCCAAGGTCATTTCGGCAGATCACTCTGAAGCCCGGTAAGAAGGCTAGTTCATAGCCTGGCCCAAGCTTGTTCTCAGGCTTGGAACTTTCTAGCGTGGGTCTAGCTTCAGTCAATGTTCAGACCAAATTCGCGGGAATGCCGCTAGATGGCGAAGAGACGTTTTGATTTCTATAAGTGAATTATTGCGTTAGAGTTCATGAATGGACTACCGATAGGCTGAACAAGTACTCTGGTTTCCCTTCAATACACGCATAAATCATTCGCCTTTTACTGAAGATTTCCATGGAAGGGATTAATTGATGAGTCTATCAAACAATTTTTTGTAGGCCTGGCCGAAACTGGAACGCCAATCAATTAAAGCCTAATTAAATTAAACACAATAATATTAATAAGATGAATAATAATATAAAATCCGATAAATATATGTTAAATTGGAATTCCAATTTAATTCATTGCAAATCCTGATTGACGCCAAGCGTTAGCTTATAATAGGTTTGATCACGCCTGAATTATACGAGTGGGCCTATGATGGGCATCACCCTTGGGCCAAGCGGGCCTTCCCAAGCTTGGTCTAATGTTTCACTCCCGGCATATCCCATGCTAGGCCCAAGCTATGGCGCCAGTCTAGAAACAGGCTTGCCTAGTCGTGGTCCAAGCCTGGTCCAGGCTTGGTCCAATTGTTAATTCGTACCTGGGTATATGGAGTAACGGTAATGAAAAAGCGTCAAGGTGGGTAACAGCGATAGGGCAGCATCTAATGAACAGTATGGAATTTTATTTTTAGTCATCGTGGCCGGTAAAACGCGTTTTCGTCTACAATCACATAAAATAGCATCATAGCCACGGCGAAAAAAGTTATTCTGACTCATGCGCGTTATTCTTATAGTGTTTGACAAGATACATACTATCAATTCAATTAAATCATTTACCAACAGACAGGGTCTTCAGCTCAGCTGTGATAGGTTTAGTGGTTACCCCAGGAGTAGATGTATCCGTGATTAAAAACTGAACATGATCGCAGACATCCTTCGTCTTGAGTATTTGCATGTCAACATCTGTTCCATGCAATTTCTTGGCCACTGTCTGGGTGTCCACAATAAAAAAGGTTTATGTTTTCAACCAGGACTTTATACAAATATACTCAACCTACCTTGACAATTCCAATGACAATGTGTTCCAAACCTGGACGATCGGAATAGTAGTGCAGGATTAGGGCGCCATCCTCAGGTCTCTCTGTGCAGCGAAAAGATGGAGCTCTCATTCCAGGATAAAGGGTACCCAAATGATCATGCAGTGCATCCAAATTCTGTAGAAATATCATATACGAACTACGATAATGATCACTTGAATTGTTGATATCTATGGACGATCAAATTGTAATCGGAAGTATACTGTCTGCCAATCAATGTATTGCCGAATACCTAGCTGACACTACCCAATTTTTCATTTGGCTCTCGCCTTGATCTTTTTCTTATAAAAAGGGTTTCCCAACTTCATCCGAGACGTTGTGCCACCACATGTTTCTTAGTTACTTCATTTAAAATTTGATTATTTTCTACTAGCGTTCTCAAAAAATGTCTCAAAGCGTACTGTCAATGTCAGTACCTTAACTTTCTGAAAATATGTTCCAGATGATATACTGATTGAGGTAGGAATTTCAAACGTATATATCTATCAAATATGAATTGTCTATTATAATTGTGGGTAACGAGTCATCGGGATATATTTCTGGATCTGAAATTTTAGATTCCACGCCACTGGGGGCCTATTCTCGACGCATGGGAAACGTCTTCCGTGAACGGAACGTAATCCGTGAACGAATGAATGATTCGTTGATCACTTTCGTTTGGAAGTTTTAAATTCGTGAGGGAAAATCTTTCGTTCAACAATTTTGTTTTCCCACACGAATCTTATTCCCATACGAAGTATCCTAAAGGTTGAAGGCGCCTAACCTATATTGCATAAAAAAAATTGAATTTCTATTATCAATTTTTCTAATTAAAAAAATGGATAATCTTCGCCGGTTTCTACATATTGAAATTTTGGGGGATCTGGAAGAGATCGAAGAACAACAGCATCGCCCTCGAAATCTGTATAATGCATTTTTTTCGATGTAGTCTGCAAGCATTATTTTCTGCTCTTGTATCACATTTCCAGCCCGTTTGCAAGTATTTTCCAAACTCTTCTTCATCAACACTTTTTTTCCACTCATTTTTATTAATTAGTAATACAAGAGTAATTGTACTAATAATACGAGACCACATGCGGAGGTGAGAATCGCAAGACTTACGAAATGGGTAATATTGCCGATCCGTTTACGAATCACATTCGCATGGGTAAGTGTTTGACGAATCAGCGTTCTCAAGGGAATACCAAATATTCGTTCACGGATTACATCCCCAAGTGTCGAGAATAGGCCCCCTGAGACAATTTCAGTGGGTCTTGCGATCATTCCCATCTCAAGATTGGGTAGAAATGTAGCTCCTTTGAGGTCCAACCTTTATACAGGTAACTCGAATCACTATTCCGTGTTTTTCTCTAATTCTGGAGATGACTGCCATAGTCGTGAGAAGTGTTAGTTGAGAGTTGGGTAATGAGCCAAAATGTTCCACGTCTTGACAGTAAGCTGAGAGTCTGTTGATTTCTCAATTGCGAGCTCATTCCATCTGATTCGCAACCAATATGCGATCGCCGCTAATAATCTATTTGAATGTTTTAAATTCAGAATAAAACCGTACGAAAAACAGCGAATTTTCAGTTTGTGAAATGAGAAATTTGACACATAATCACCCATAACAATTGTCCAAGTGAATGAAATGAAAAATATGATAATCTATTCAGAAGAACTCATTGAACTCATGTTCGAAATGATGTATAGTGAAGACTCAATAGTGAATTCCAAAGGTCCGCTATTAGATGAAAAGACCAGATTCCAGGGTTTGATATGAAGTTCAAAGGAGCGACAAAGTTCAATAGCTTTATGAAAATTCCACTGAATGGCATTCAATATATCGTAATCTAAGATGATTAATATGATGAATTGATATGTTTATTGATTCAACTTGGAGGAATGGAAAAATACAGTCCAAGTCGATAATTAAAATAAACCTGGAAAATTTGGAACAAGAAAATGAATGATTTTACCACCTATGCCAATTTATTAAGTTCTGTTTAGTGAATTTTCTTTGCTATGTACTTTTGCCCACTCTTGGGCAGTATTTTTAAAGATATCAATAATTGATCAGTGAGGATTAATTCCAATTTGTCATTTTGACTCTTTAACTTTTCCAAGAGGGTATTAATCAGATTTGAAACTATCAAATCGAGCTATGACAGGCTCAATAGCCTGAAAAATTTAACAAGATGAAATATGATACGTCTCATTATTTTAAATTTAACCCGAAACAATGGGCTCTCGTCTATCCTTTGTCATGTACTAATAGAGGTCGGGAGCACGACTTCCTCTTAGAGCAGAGGTTACCCAGCCCTGCGCTAATAGATGAAAAGTTCGAATTTCAGGGTGTGACATGACGTTCAAAAGAAAAACAATGTTCAATAACTTCATGAAAATTCAACGGAATTGTCGTCAACTTTTAACAAAATAAAGAAGCGATAAAAAACTTTGAAAAATCCCGTCCTAGTGCTATTTTCACGTAATGTACAAAAATAGAATTTTTGACGAAAAGTGCGTAGACTCTGTGGGAACTAATTCCACTGCGAACGGTTTTGGAAAATCTGAGAAAATCGGTATTGAAAGCCAGTATCGTCAAAAATTTGAGAGACTGACGTCGGTAGTTCAGTGGCTAGGTGCCTAGTTGAGTCGAATTTTTGAACAGGCACCGATGAGCGGGTGGCTACTGATAGAACAACCGCCTTTACCGATATCGTTTTTCCTGTGGTTTCCCATGCCACTCCGATGTTCTATAGGATAGTAAATACGGTACAATGTAGAATGCACAGCTGCATATATAGGGCGGGATCCAGCGAGTTATCAAAAAAAAGGGCAGAAAGGACCGGAATATAAAAAAAAAACATGTTCCAGATGCTTATTTCCAAAAATACCGTATCCAATTCCAAGAAGTAGCGAGTTTTCTCGATTTATACAACATAGTCTGGTAATTCTTACCATTATTCATTTATTTGATTGTTAAAGATGCGTTTCTATGGACTTTTTTATACTCAGATGTTGAATTCATTACCTGGAGGAAGTCGCGAGGAGTTGCACCCAAGACTTGTAGGATTTTATCATAGCCAGAGTCCTGACAGAACTCGAAGAACATTCGTCCGAAGAGCTCAAGAATCTGATTTGCTGGGATTTCTAGAAAAGCAGATAAGAGAAACGTTGCAATAAAATTAAAAATTGATGTTTTTTCAAATTAAAAAAAATATATTTATGAAATATGATTGAATAGAGTTTAGAAGATGAACTAACAATGAGTTATCAAATTTGCGTCATGGTTAAAATGCAAAAATAATATTACATTGTCATGAAATTCACGAGACTCGAAATTTTTTTCAAAATTTTAACATGTGTTAGAGAAATTAAGAATGGAACAGAAGCAGAAAGAAATGGTGTCAAATGGTGTTGTGTCCCCGTGACCGAGAGGGAGTGATCAGGGGCCTTGCGGGCGGTGAAATCCAAAATATCAGACCCGAGATACGGTCGTCTTCATGAATTTTCTCAAGCCTGTTGGAGAGCTACGGAAAAATTTCAGTTACGGTTTCGCTGTCCCCCGGACTGATAGTTAGCCTCAGTAAATGTGTCGCCATCTTTGAGTTTAACCTTTGTTTCGACCTATCATAATTCTTGATTGTGGATCTCGATTAGAAGTAAGCAAGCTTCCTTCAACTATCTATATTTTTATGGTTTGCATAAACAATAATCCCCACTCTTTATCGAATAGAATTACGCCCCTACTTAGCACTTAATCTGGCTAATTAACTGAATTACTTAGTGACCTTACTCTTAATTTCGTTACCTAGAGGAGTGACTTAGTTCCGAACATTCAAATTTAACTACCTAAGGACTTTTTCGCTAAATTCGGTACCTAATAAATTGATGTCGGTACCGAACCTTCCATGCCTACCGAACTAACTAGCTACCTAACAAATCATTACGTTCTCAAACCAATTACGTTTTCTACTGAATCAACATTTAGTGGGCCACATAACAATTAGTCGCGTTACGGACGAACTAGCTTAAATGATCGGGTGACCTCGATATTTACAAAAAACTTTTCAGAAACAATTGCCGATATTACGACAACTAATCCATTAATCGGGTTAAAATTCAGGACAGATCAAGTCCACATTAGATCCTATGAATCGTCAAAAGTTGAGGTTTTCGGAATCAACTTACCCGTTGACTTTTTAGTTTTTCTAAAAGTTTACCATCAATTGACCATTTGCCGACACACACATATGTCCCCCAAGCTTCATATTTTTAGGTTTCACATCATTCTCAGGCAAAATTGCAGTGCTTCCCTTTTGAAGCAAACAACGGAAAAATGGCAACATCTCGTGACTTTTGTAGGACCGGGTATACTTATTTTCATGGCTTTGTACGGTTCCTACTGAGACGAGTATTTTGGACGAAAAAAAAATGAAATCCGTGGGTCTGGAGATATTCACGAAAATACATTCATGCAAAAGGTATAGTATCTCTGGAGCTGCTTCGCCGATTGTACCCATTGAAAATATCGACCTTTAATATTACGAGAGCTACAAGCCTACAAAATTTCATCTCTGTATCTCTGATTCTTGTTGATTTATCGTATTCACAACCTTTATGATGATGAAACCTAATGAACCTAATGAACCGTATATCCTAAATTAATTTTTAATGATCTTTATAGATGTAAAACAAATAATAATTATACTTGCTATAATTATGATTACTATTCGTCTAAAAAAAAAACAGTCATTGCACTTGAAAATACATCTCAGAGAAAAAGGGTCACTTTTTTAAAGTTGGTTTATTTAATGATAACCTGAAAATTTAATCTCAGTCAGTAGATTTATGTTCAGGTGGGTGTTTCCTGGGTATTCCATTGTGTGTCTGATCGCCGCCTTGAAGGCAGACGATTTCTGACTTTCTAAATATTCATGTCTTTTCTTTCCTTCCTTTCAACGCGCTAGAAATCGATGAGAGCTTCCGCAGCGCCAAACGTTTTTTTCGTTACTCTAACGTGTGATTCTCTTTTTAGAAATTATTTCATCCGCACAGTGAATTATTCGGATTATATAAATTCATAGAAAAGATCGCCCTGCCAGTCGAACAAATTTACATCTTAATTAAAATTTATTTTGCCTGCTGTAGCTTATCTAATTGAAACTAATGTTTCAGGCTGTGGCTGTACAAAATTGATTGAAATATATAGATCAAGTGACGTCAAATCGGAATTACAGAAGTTTAAATCTTTCAAGAGAAGAAAAACTACGAAAAAATAAACGGGAATGAGTCCGTGAGCATCTCTCCGACTCAAATTTTGAGTTAATTTAACGCTATTTTAGAGGCGTTTCATTTTAGCATAACGTCGTTTCCCGACCACTGTTCCCGGACATAACATGAATTTGCGGGATTCGACAAGGACGACCTTACATTTTATTCTGAATGATATCATTCAAGTCCTAAGTAGTAATATAATACAAGGCATTAAACAAATCGAAGGATTTGGAAGGATTATAAAATTGAGTGTATTATTTTTATGCTCTAAATGAATTCTGTTGTTAGACTTGAAATTAATTTTTGACTCTTGTTCCTTCTAACTTCTCGCATCATTATCGACTATTTGCTGGACTCGAGACCATTGAAATTTCGAAGTCAGTGACCTATTCCTTGAGGTTTCAGCCTTCTATTGATCGTGGCCTGTGAAATCACTTTTTTTTGTTAATATCAAATCATATGTTCCTTTTAAATTTACAGCATTTGCCGATGCTCAAGTTTTATGTTTTGCTGGTAAACCCTTTTGGTTACTGCCAGTGTTTGTTTACGTTTTGTGGAGGCATTCTCTCTCTCAATCACTGAATACTCTTTCATGTTACTCTTGTTGTACTAGTGCACGCGCTCGTTCTCGCGGTAACTAGATTTTTTTTCCATAATAATTTGACTCACTAAGTTGCTAGGTGATTTATGGATTGATTCTAAATTTCGACTTATTTACTTTTGACTAACTTTAACTTCATAAGTAAAGTTTCGTTGTTTGCGAATTGGTTAGAGGATTTGTTAATCGACAATATTTGTTTGTAATTCTGTTCAATTGATTTATTTTATATTGTAAACGAAAATAGGGTGATATTTATTTTGAGAGTAAGATGGGGATGTAAATTTAATTAATTTATTTTTCGTTATTTTAAGCCACATCAAACCTTTCGTTAGCCCGCAATTTTTTGAAGTCACGAAAGACCATACCGCGCCCCAGCGCCGGATTTTGAAACAGTTTCTGTACGATAGAGTTACGACTTTTTAAGCTCGCGCCACTTTCGGCGGATCAATGAGGAATCGTGGCTTCATGATTTCGAGATTTTCGAGATAATCGATTGTGTCAAGCGTATCCCTTTTAGAATAGGGTTTGGAAGGAATTTTATCCAGCCATTTCAGAGTCTTCTTAGAACAGTATTTGAAACTAAGCAGACTCCATGGCTTTTATACTGACCGGTCTGCAGGTGTTATGAATAGTATCTGTTAACTTGGATTTTTGGGCGTTTTATTGAAAACGTCATGGCGCCTAACATTTTGTCGATTTCGTTTGGTCGCCGAGGGCTACACATATTTGTTCTCGCGGAGGCCACAATACGTCACAATACATAATACATTCACTGATTATATCACTGGAGAGAGAAGGAAGAAAAGGGGTGAGGTGAGGGAATGCTTGGGTATTTCGGAAGCGACTGATGAACTGACTGGGTTGACTGAGCTATACCTATGGAACCGATTCCGTAAATTACCTAACGATTACTAATGATCACCGACGGCTAGGCAGGTGATCACCCGATTGCTACAGTTGGTTCTTTTCTTGGTCTTATTTATTGGTTTTCCTTTGAAAATGCTGTTCTCGTTCACAAATCCAGCTCTCCCCCCAACACGCACACGATGAAAGATAGAGCAGTCTACTACCCTCGCGGTTGCGCCTTCATGCTTCTGGTTCTTGAGGTTTGTCTTGTAGATGATTCGAGTTTTCAATTATATAGGTTTCTTTACGGTTGTGGGTTGCGATTCCGTGTTGCTAAATATCATCTTTCAAACTTTTGGATTTCATTCGCATGGTTTTGACGTTGCAGTCTAATTGATATGGTGATAACGCAGATCGTCATTAAGCCGTATTGTTGGATATTCATAAACTCTACTACAGTTTCATTGACTATTTGCCAAAGCCCCAGCATAATCATTACAACGTGTATTAATGCTCTTCGCTTCATTCATTCTCCTCTCCGTAGTTGCTACATGGCCTTGTTGAGTTAACGTGGGACTTGGAGAAGACTTTTCTGACGCGTTTTCTGGATTTCTGAGCTCTCCATAGGGAAAATAGCGCCTTCAATCCTCTATGATATTGCTCAGTGGATACTAGATCTTTCATATTTTACCCGGTAAACAATTTTTGATAAAAATTAGACTTCCAGAGGGCTAAACGCGGTATGAAATGACATTCAACCACTTTATTTATGGTCAACTTTTGAAACATTCGGCTTGGGAGACTAATTTTGGCGATAAAACATATCTTCGACCTACGTTCGGCCCTCTTGAAGTCCAATTTTTTGCAAAATAGTTATTTTCAGGCCTAGCCATGGAGAACAGAGCATCCCTCCCAACATGCAAGATTAACATTTGAGCCGAAGGCGAGAATGGCAAGCATGTGAGGAAAGGAGATATGTTTTCCACGGCATGGCGTTAACAAAATTTTGTATACACGTGTACACAAATACTCGACTATAAATTATGATAATCTAAATGGCGAAGTAACCCATCGATTAAAAACAGTTGCAGGGAAGGGTTATTATTATAGGATTATGAGAACAATTCACGTGGAAATTTCGGGGGATAGAACAATAAATAGTGTCACTACTGCAAACAATGAATTGCATTGTTCTCCTATCGACAGCAGTGTTACAGTTGGCGACATTCATTTTGTCCTTTTGTGAAGAATTAACTCTTTCTTCTCTTCAAGGATCTTGAGCCGTAATGAATTATTTTCAGGTCAGATTAATTTTTTCAATTAACGACGAACGACAGTGAGTAGTGCAATGAAAGCGTAGTGAATGAAAGTAGGGAAATAAAATGATCTGTGCATTTTCTTTTTGTACTCACTGAGTAATTTCTCTGCTGCCGAGATAATATTATATGTGATCTCATCGTCATAAATTTGTCGTACAAGAAACTGCCCCTCCATATTAACAGCGGCATCTTTCCTGCACAAAACATTAATTAGAAATATTTTCATGCTTTCTCCATCCTCGGTCAATCATGAAGCAAACTGTCTGTTACTCAGTTCACGTCTTTTTCAGTCAAGTAGCATTACTCCACTATAGCTTACATATAAGTTATAATACTACGGTCACGTTATATCAAAGATTGATAGATAACCCATCGATTATACTGAAGACTGAGTTTGAGTCCTCTATCAACTAAATTTTAATATTTAAATATATAAAAACTGAAGATTAGAGTTCATGTGGCTATCCTTGTGGGCAGGATTTTGTCATTTGACAAGTCCAGGTTCGGAAATTTCTTTTGTGTCGGGTTTTAATCATGTTTTTATTTCGTTTCATAATTATTGTTTGTAATTTCACTCATAATTTCATATTAGAATTTTATGGAAAATTTTATGGAGGATGCGACGGTGTTTCGGTTATTACATTTTTATTATTCTCATCCTTGAACTATACATTATATATTTTACATTTTAATTATACATTTTCTTTAAATATCTATTTAACCCGCCAAATCTGGAATATTCTTTAGTGGTTTGGAGCAAGTGATTTCAGTATAATTTTGGAGCAGCAGCTTTGAGACGCTGCCATTGTGCCTTTCGTTGTTATGATATTGCAGTTTTTGGACCTTTTGGAGGAAAATGGTTTGGCGCCCGACATTTAGCGATTCGAGTTTGAACGCTGAGAGCAACGCCTTTTCCCCAAAACGGCAAAAATACGTCACGATAAAACCGATGTAGTTAAAATATAGAGCTTAACGAGCTGAATACCTTCGGTTATTGGCCATGAACCTATCACAGAAAGCTTTTCTCACAGAAAGACAATCTTGAAGCTGGTCTGGTACGACATAATTATACCAATTTTATCTGTATCAACCCCACTACAATATTTTTAAGTAAATGTTGATTCACTCGTGTAAATTGCAAATATTTGGACAATTCAGCCAGATTTCATCAAAATATGTATGTATATATCATTGTTTCGTAGACGTATCGAAATTCCCAATTATGTGTCGATCAGTTCTCCACCGAATTTTCGACGTGATGTAATACAAAAATCTCCTGCCGCAGTTTAGCAAACTACATCAATCTTCGCTTGCTCATAACGAGAGCCAAGTATCAAGTCTATTAACCGGAAAATCAATCGACGTCGGTGGTCACCGGAGCCCTGCAATGATCGTTATCTAATGTTCGCCGGAGAGGCAAATTCGCCCTAAGCGTCAGCCACAGGAAGATAAGATTCTCCTCGTTATTTCATTTATTCCCACAGGACGAAAAAAGTTTCCTCCGCTGACTAAACGAGTCAAGTCTTCACCAGCAAGGAAAGAAAGTAAAAGTTTTCATAGAATAGATTCACGTGGACACGCGAGTATGTATGTCAAGTGCACAAGCACTCAATAAGTAATTACACCCCTGACACCCTTAATATATAAACTTGCAGTGAAAAATATCCTCACCCAATAATATTCAATTATGTATTCTCTAATTTCAGGTGAATTTCGTACATCAGGTACAATGGTTAGGGAAGAAATCTACATAGAACGTAATTTATAAATGTAAGTAATAACATACTTTATTGCTTCCCATGTCTCATTGTCGAATGTTTTCACAACCAGCAATTCCAGAGCGTAATTCACGAAACCATACTGCGCATGTGAACAAGTAATTCAAATAAATTAGTCTATAAACAAGATAAGCTGACAGGGCTTATAGATAAACGGAGATTATAAATATAGACATGATGCAAACTAATGCCGCAAAAAATTCAATTGATCAATCACCTGACAACTTATTTCAATAGTATTACAACCGATGGTTGGTATTTATCAATGAAGGAACGACTACCTCGACCTAGTGAACATTTTCACGAGGTAATTACCCACAGGTCTTTTTATCTGAGTTAATGAATGGACGTACCATGATTGACAGTGAGAGCGATTGTCCTGTTGCTAGTCCTCACTATTATTATTTTTCCATGCTAATGGTCATTTGTTGACGTACTCGAGAGCAGACACGGGATGAATCGTTTTATTATAATAGACAACAGCGTGTTTACTTCATGCCCACGAGACGTGTACTGCAAGCGCCTCAACTGCTCGCAACGTACGATAAGTATCGATTTTAATACCGAGCCAACAACGCCACCTACATATTTCCCGGGAACGTGAATAGAGCTTATTCTCCCCCAGCAGTGAATTCTCCTGCTGTGCCCGTTTCGTCAGATTATTTTATTCATTTTTCACTTTTTTACCTTGAGAAGTTTCACTTAGCTGTTACTGAAAAATTATTATTCTTTTGTAATTCCTGCGAGTTTTATTGTTTTTATTGTTACTTTGCTGTACAATGAGGAGAACAGTATCTACATATCAGGGCGCGTTATGAAATTCCAAAGTCAGTCTAAAGAATATGATTGAGGCATACAAAAGAAAAATCTGTTTATAAAGATCTGAGTATCACAAAATTTTGGAGATTGTGTGGCGATCATATCGGTAATAAGAGAAGTCATGTACCTATATATATCCTATGGAACTATTTTAATTGTTACACTGCCGGAAAACCGTAACAAATATTCAACATAATTACCTGTGAGCAATAAATTTTAAATTAAATTACATAATTAGATACTAAAAATTCTTGAATCATAAAGATTTTAAAGTCCTATTTATCCCGTATTTTTGGATAAGTTCATTATAAATTAATGTAATGTATACGTGAAAGCACCGGTACTATGTATTCCCATACGCCTTCTGCCTTTGCTCCTATTTCGATTTTCCCTTGTGATGAGGTGATAAGCCGCGGAATTTTACAAAATCACATTATATTCTGATTTGCTTCGCTTCAGAGTCAACCATGAGGTCATGATATTTTATTTTTCGTAAATATTTACTTGCACTTATAGTGCGTCCAAAAAGAAGAAGTGATGAAAATATTTGGTGGTGTAGAGTAATTCCAGACATTAGGCGGAAAAATGACTAACACAATTTTGGTGCTCCTACTTGAACCGTTCTTTTTACTGTTAGAGTTGTTTGGACTTTTAATTGTCGGGGCGGAAAAGTGGAAAATAGCAAAAGTGGTAGAAGCTCAGGGCTGGCCCATGCTCGAGTCTGATTTGACCATTGTGCACAAGAGATATTTGAGGCGTTGTCAGGGCCAATGCAGTCTGGCATCCCTGCTAAAGGCAAGAAGTCCGCTGACTCCGCCTTGGGTGAGGGCGCGACCCGTTAGCACTGGTCCAGAAATCCGCGTGACGGAAGTAGCTCCGGTCTCTCATCATAAGTCTTCTACCCTTAGCTGAACTTCCTCCGGTTACAGTAACTTCCGAAACAGAGCCATGTCCATACCCTTTCAGAACCTTGAGAGATACGTTTTTAATATTATAGGAAATACATAATCATTAGGAAGAATATTGCTAATTTAGTAACAGCAATGACCATATCATGTTAAACTATAAACAATATTCCACTGGTGAAATCGGAACTTCGGGAACCGCGGCCATACAACCCTATTAGACTCATTGTTCGGAATACAATACTCCAATTGCGTGAGGTCCAGTGTAGTTAGAGTAAGGATAGCCGCGGACACAAAAAGGAGGGCAGTTACACGGAAAGAGCGTCGCGCGCTCTTTAAAATTTAAAAAAACTTACCGCCTAAAAATTCAAATAAATGCTCACCAATTCAATTCGAAAAATTCTTAGTTACATCGGGGGTAATTGCTAGACATGGTTCCCGAAATTGATTATTTGTTAGTCACCTTAATATTGAATAATTCTTTTAAAAATTAAATTAAATTTGAGACCTCAGGTCTTTAAAACTTAATCAATTAATTATTGATTTAAAGTGTTATTTATAAGCTTGAAATTTTGAAGATATTGCAGACAAATTTTTCAGGAATAAGTTTTTAGTCGAACTTTTTTAGTCGAAAATCAATTCAATGGAAAATATTATCGGAGTCGCTCGATAATTCTATTGACATCTTATTAGATTTCTATAATAATTATATACGCGATGGGGAAATATGAGAAGAGAAAGCAAGAAGATCGTGAGAAGGAAGAACTTTTCTGTAAGATGCAGAAACTGTACGTGAAGTTCGAACGTCTCCTACCCGATGCTTGGCATGCGTTTGCAGGTAAAGGGTTTTTTCCCATCCGCCTTGGATATTCAGGTTCGATCCAAGTGACTAAACCGGCTAATGTCCAAGGTTTTTTCGGCTAAAGCTTATCCCGTGGGGAAGCTGGGCACAGGCCCTTCGAAGTCCCAGTCTTCGCGGATATCTCCTCAGCCTAACTTGGAAGCTTGTTGGTGCTTCTAGCTCTCTTCGAGCTTACTGAAGGACGACTTGAATAAGTCGATGAAGATTAAGCAGTGGTGCGAACTCAGAGGTCTCTGGTTGAAGGCTTCGTATATGCCTTCAACAGAAAATACGACTGCTGATCGTAAATCTCAAGTAAACAATATAGACACAGAGTCGGAATTGGCGTCTTATGCATTTCAAGAGATTAGGAGAATTTTTGGAACGCCAGACATTGACTTGTTCGCATCCCGGATAAACGCGAAATGTACCCTTTACGGCTCGTGGCATAGAGATCTCTTTGTTGCGTCGATCGGCGCTTTTACGTCAAATTGGTCACAACGTTTCTTCTATGCATTTCATCCATTTTCTCTGATTTTTACGGGCAATTCGGAAAATTCGGTCAGATCAGGCCACTGGTATATTGGTGATTCCTCGATAGATGGCCCACTCTTGGCTACACTCCCCTATTCTTGTCCACGTTAGTTAGAAAGCCGATCGAATTTAGGCCTTCATGAGATCTTTTCCTCTCACCTTGTAGATGTGTGACCCGCCCGCTGGCATCATAGGTTATTCTGATAGCAATCTACATTAAGAAGAAATACTCAGCACCAACAGCAGAGATCATGACGAGGTCAATAACAGAGTCAGCTCACAGACAGTATGACTCAGGACTCAAAAGGTGGTGGTTATTTTGCTAGGAGAGGGATATTGATTGCTTCTCTGCACCCAGCACACAGATTCTGGAATTCTTAACTGTGGACTTCAATCGGCGAGCAGCATATGACTCCTTGAACTCCACGAGATTAGCAATTGCAGGTATCTCGGATGGGGACATTGGGAAAAATCCGACAGTTCTTCAATTTTTTGAGGGAATTTTGAAAGTTTTCCCTACTCGGCCTACATATTCCTACACTTGGAATCCGGAGTCAGTTTTAGTTTACTTCGAATCCCTCCCGGCGGATGGGGATTTATCTATTCCCCAACAAAGTAAGAAGACGATCACTCTCCTGGCCTTAAGTACCGCACATAGGCTTCAAACCTTTTCTTTGATCGAACTCAACAATATTGAGACCACTTCAAGTCTTGAAATTAAAATTCCTTCCAGAATTAAAATATCTCGCCCGGAGGATCCTTAATCATTTTTAATTCTCCTTTTTCTTTCTGAAAGACAAAAAGTCTATGCTACCAGTGCAGTCCTCTTCTATATATCGAGGACCCAAGGACTCAGAAAAGAGGTGACAAGGCTATTTATTACATCCAGAGAGTCTTATAGCTCTGTTTCATCTCAGACCTTGGAGCGGTGGATAAAGTCCTGTCTCTCACGATCCATACGAATCGATTCTCAGCATACGCACTAAACATGCAGCGATTTCAGCGGGCGCACGTAAAAGAGTGAGCCTAGACATCAGCAGAAGGACGGTCTGCTGGTCTGATAGATCTAATGTTTTTGTTCGTTTTCATAATCGTCCTGTTGCGATGGACCAAAATGTCTTTATCAAAGCAGTTCTTAATATTTAAGTTCATTTTACAACATGTCTTGGCCAAAGCAGTTCCTGAATGTTCAAATTTTATCTAAGATTGGTTCGACATCCTGGAGTTTAATTGTGTTCCTCCCATTTATTAGTCTGGTAATAAATGCGGCGTTTAAAAAAAATTGAACCTACTTTCTGAACCTCTACGAGTATTTCAATCTCCAAGACGAGGCTCGGATATTATTGCACGATCAAACGAACTTACCGGTAAAAGAAGTTCGATCGTGATTATATGAAGAGCCTCGTCGAGATTCGGTCCCTTCCGATTGACTTCCCCATACCCTGTGCAATTTTTATTTTCTAATTAGTATCCTAACTGGCCTCTTTAAACTAATGAGGATAATGCCGGTGCCTCCCGACTGTGGCGCCGCCCCGGTTTTCTCTTTGGGTCTTTGAAGATGTGTGGTTCTAGTCAGCCGCAGGCGGGCTTCTACAACTATTTGAATCTCTCGACGAGGCTTGTCATATAATTACTATCAAACTTCACTTACAAGTTCGTTTGATCGTACAATATTACATACATGCAAACGGCTATGTATATACGGACGGGCACTGTTTAAAAATATCACAAAGAAAATTAAATTTGATCTATAACAATGTTTCCGTCCAAAATATAAAAATTAATGAAGATACCCAATCTTGAAGGGGCACTGTTTAAGTCAAGCCGTGTTTTACTTGAATCGAATAGATGCTCAACTTATACTAAATTGAACTCCACTTCGATCACAATGAAAATTCAGCTGCATATTTTTCGGACATACTGCAAAGAAGTCAACAAAATCGACTCGGAGTGAGTAGATGCTACTCAAATCAACTTGAGAAGCTAGCCCAGCGGAATTATGGTCTATAAGCGCGATATATATTAATTACTTGCACATATCTTTTAGAAAAAACAGTAATATTTCACACATATGTTACAATAGAATTATTTGCACATAAATTTTTTCAGACCCCAAATGGAATCAAGCCAGCCGTTTGCAATTGAAATAAATGCTGAATCACTAAACCACTCATCATATAAAACGCAATTTTATTCGCTGAAAATCCCATCCATGTCTCTTCATCCGTTGTTTTAGTTAACAATAGTTTCAATTTCTTTGTGGCATTCAATTGCCCATGAGTTGTGCAAATAATAGCTGAATATATGAAGATATTCAGTACGATAACAGTGGAATTGAAAAGAGAAATGGACAAAAACTACTAATGGACGCGACATATGAAGGTCGAGAAGAAGTTGATGA